TCTTGTGGCCCCTTCACTTTAATATTTTGTTTATAAAATGTGAATTTCATTTTACAAAATTAAATTGCCATAACTGACATAAGTTGTTTTTTCCCGCAAAATAGTTATATTTTTATAAAATTTTTCAATGCATTAATGATGTGCTACTAAATTAGCACAACTAGTGGTGTCACAGCAAATCTTTGTGTGTCAGGGGCATGGTGTATCGGCTTAGAGGGCACACTCCTTATGATTGAAAACTGTGCATGTTGCCACATGAAATACTACTCACCACAATCATGTCATTAAAAAGGAAGATTTCTCTTTGGTGTAGTTTGTCTTTCTTTGTGGGATCATAAACTTCAAATAATCTAACATAACATACCAATCTTCTATTTGGTTCTGCTAATATCTATAGAACAGAAAAAGTCTGTCATAAAACAATGCATTTACATGCAGATAAAACAGAATACAGGTTCAGAGCGAAATAAATCTGGCTAACTTGGTCATAATAAAGTAACAAGACATACTTCATGGTTAGATAGGTTTGTTCAGTTCGTAGTTTGTTTTTATTATTTCAGATATTACGAATAGAATAATGGGAACATGTATAAAATGTGGAGAATCAGCAGTCTTTTTATTAAGAACAAGTCATTGAAAATGACACAGTCCCAGTTAAATTTGTGAAAGTTCTCTTTGTGCTCGTCATATTAAAGCGGAGGGGTTGTCGTGAGCGTGTCCTTGAAACTTGAGTTCCTAGTGGCGTATACAACAGATTGTTTATTTACATCAAAACACGTATTCCGTGTAGTAGTAATATGGCCAAAAAAAAAAAAAAACTGCCGTTATGCGGCCATCTTTGATCTGATTATGAAACACACTGATATGTATGATGTATGTGCCAAATATGAATGAAAATGGTACATAAATTGTGGAAATATAGTAGTAAGGCCAAAAAGTCAGATGGCTGGCAATCCGCCATCCTTGACCAGATTTTGAATAAAATTGTCATGTACATGCATCCTAACATGTATAAAGTACATGTATGTGCCAAATTTGAATGAAAACTAACAGCGCACGTCCAAGATACCGCATAAAAAAAACAAAAACAAGATGCCTGCCAATCAACCATCTTTGATCCAATTGCGAAATAAATCGTCATGGACATGTATCCTAACATGTATAATCCATGTACCAAGTTTGAATGACAACTGACAAAGCATGTCCAAAATACAACATTTTCAAAAAACTAGATGGCTGCCAGTCGACCATTTTGAATCGAATCGCTAAACCACTGCATGTGCATATGTCCCACACAAGGTACTAGGCACATGCAAAGAATGAACAGAATCGGTCCACAGGATTCTGAAATATGACTCTGGACAGACTGACGCATGGACGGACACACTGACAGACGGACGGAAAGACTCGAGATCGGGGACATGTATCCTAACATGTATGATCTATGTACTAAATTTGAATGAAAACTGACAAAGCATGTCCAAAATACGACATTTTCAAAAAACAAGATGGCTGCCAGTCGACCATCTTTGATCCAATTGTGAAATAAATCGTCATGGACATGTATCCTAACATGTCTAATCTATGTACGAAGTTTGAATGAAAACTGACAAAGCATGTCCAAAATACAACATTTTCAAAAAACAAGATGGCTGCCAGTCGGCCATTTTGAATCGAATCGCTAAACCACTGCATGTGCATATGTCCCATATAAAGTACTAGGCACATGCAAAAAATGAATGGAATCGGTCCAAGAGATTCTGAGATATGACTCTGGACGTACGCACGGACGCACAGACGGAGACCGAA